CACTATTGTTGATTGGCATTTGCCTTCTGAGAAGTACTAAATTTTGGATATAACATGTATCACTCTTCTGGTTTCAGCTCAGTTTTTAATTTTTTTTGTCTTTTTTTTCCTTTTGGGAGGGGATCTTTAGAGATTTCCTTTACTTTTTAGAAAGCTCAACAATATGTTAACAGTTAGGATTTTTTTTTTGTTTATTTTGGTTTGTAACTTACAGAGTATCTCTCATATTTTAGCAGAGGAGACTTTTCAGAATATCTGGTCTACCATACAATTGAAAGTAGAAATTGGATGAGATTAAATATGCCATATAGGTACTTTATAAATATTAATTTTGTTCGGCCTTATTAACTTATATTTTGCCTACGCATTTGTTTTAAGCATGTTTGACATCATATACTTTCATGTTTGGTTATTTTTTGTGGACACTTTCCTTAGTCTTTTCTAATTTAAATTTAATATGTACTATACAAATTGTAAACTTGTATATTTATTTTGTTATTTATCATTTCATAGAAAAACTGTTAATTTCTGTTTTCTGTTCTTCTGAAAGTAATGACTTTATGGGAGAATTCAACTTTTTTTTATTGTATGTGGGGTTAATGTGTAGAGTGTTTGTGGACGATTGAACCTAGGTAGGATTTATATTCAGTAAAGATCCAAAGGAATTCCAGTAATTTCTTTTGCTTGGTAATTAACATTTGGCATATTTAGAGCAGTGATTCTCAACTAGAGGGATTTTGCTCCCTGGGGGAGATTTGGCAGCATCTGGAAACATTTTTCATTGTCTCTACTGGTTTGAGGATGCTACTGGTTATTTAGTGGGTAGACTTTGGGGATGCTGCTCTACATCCTACAAGGCACAGAGCAGCCCCCTTCTGGTCCCAAATGTCAATAGTGCCAAAATTGAGAAAACCCTGATTTAGAGAAATAACGTGAAGATAAGGTATTGATGCTGGTGGGTATATTTGGGAGGAAAGGCTTTCCAGGTTTTTTAGAAAAACTGAAGGAAAACCTTAGAAAGGAAGATTGTTCTCCCCTTCCCGTATTTTCTTTCTCTAATTCTTCAGTACAAACATTCACATCCGTACAGCCAGGACTAAAAGTCCAAAATTTTTGACTACTGCTACTAGTCAGTTGGACTCTCTTGTTATTTCTTGCTGTTTCTTTTTCCTATTATAGAATAATGCATATTCATTGTGGAAAACTTGGAGGGAATGGAAAATTATAAATAGAAAGAAATCATCCTATCCTTTCATTTATATGCAAGAACTGCTAACATTTGGGGGTATTTAGTTCGTCTGTTTTCTTTGCAGATATTTTTTATGTAGTTCTGAGAATACTGTATAATTTTCATCCTAAAAAATTAAAACATAACCATAAGTATGCATAATGTTTACAGTGTTACTGTGATTTATTTAATCACTTCCTCTTTGATATTGAGGTGTTCCTGATGTTTTCCTGTTGTGAATCCTGTTTAATGAACATCTTGTACGTAATTAGTTAGCTGTGTTTCAGATTCCTTTAGAATAGATTGTTAAAGGGTACTACTGGGTTAAAAGGTATGAGTGAGATTCTTGAGTTGATACAAATTGGTGAATTTATCCTACCGTAGTGTATGAGACTATCAATTTTCACTTTGGATTTACCGCTTTTTTTAACCGAATTATTTTATAAGCATGTAATACCTACATAAAGCTTTTGGAGGCTAAAAGAAAAATCTGTGTATATCCTTGCATTGAGAGTATGGGTAATCTGCCTGAGTAAATGGGCTATAAAAGGGCAGTTAGAGAAGGCAACATGAACAAATGTAAAATTTCCTTGGAGTTATGTAATTTGTATAATTATTGTGGCCTGGCAAAATTGTATCTTGCAGTTGTGTAAATTGAGTCCTATTTTATTTTATTTTTTTTATTTTTTGTAAAGATTTTATTTATTTGAGAGAGAGAGAATGAGAGTCAGAGAGCACGAGAGGGAAGAGGGTCAGAGGGAGAAGCAGACTCCCTGCTGAGCAGGGAGCCCGATGTGGGACTCGATCCCGAGACTCCAGGAGCATGACCTGAGCCGAAGGCAGTCGCTTAACCAACTGAGCCACCCAGGCGCCCAGTTGAGTCCTATTTTAAATGCACCGAGTCAGCTCACTTAAAGAAGTCCTATAGTAAATATTCTTTTTTTTTTTTTTTAAAGATTTTATTTATTTATTTGAGAGAGAGAGACACAGCCAGAGAGGGAACACAAGCAGGGGGAGTGGGGGAGGGAGAAGCAGGCCTCCCGCAGAGCAGGGAGCCCAATGCGGGGCTCGATCCCAGGACTCTGGGACCATGACCTGAGCCGAAGGCAGAGGCTCAACGACTGAGCCACCCAGGCGCCCCTAAATGTTCTTGTTTAGTGGGAAAAACTGTCTTTTCATGGTTTGGTTATGAGTTCATTCTGGTTGTATTTGTTTTGTCAGTTCAAAATATTGTCACTTATTTAAATAACATGAATGCCTTTTCTATGCATAAGTAGACCCTGTGATACCATAGGACTATTAGATCTGTGAGTGAATAAGCTATACACTGTACTGCTCTCATGAGATTACATCTGTATGACATAACTAAAAAAGAATCCGGGGTTTTCTCATTTAATGATCTGAGAAATATTAGGGGCATAATTCTTTGCTCCGAAATTTCTTATCCAAAACATACATACACTGTTGTAATAGTGTTTGACATTTCCTCATTAGAAAATTATTCCTTTGCCTTTTCCTTTTTTAAAAGGGTACTGTAAGGGAGGTGGAGAAGTAAATGGTTGGCTGGAATAAGGAAGGAGGTATTAGGAAATAAAGAAAGATCAAGTTGCTAAGTTAGAGGGAAGAGTAGTGAAATTTAAGAGAATAATAAGTTAATTACTTCTTACGTTATTTTGGAACAAGGTAGGATGTAAAGACACATCATAAATTAATAAGCTTCCCTGAAAATGGTGAATCTAGTCTTGTTCTCACAATACAGATGAATTGAAAACAAAGTGTACTGCTTTGAATGAATAATGACTTTCCTACATTTTCACTTTTGGAAATTTAGAAGATATTTTTATTTTCATTATTTTTTAAAGATAGATTTATTTTAGAGAGAGAGAGAACGTGTGAGTGGGTGGAGGGGTAGAGGGAGAGAGAGAGAATCTCGAGCAGACACCCCACTGAGCGCAGAACTGGGCTGGGGCTTGATCTCACAACCCTGAGATAAGGACCTGAGCTGAAACCTGACTCAGATGCTTAACCAACTGAGCCACCAAGGTGCCCCCTAGAAGATATTTTTAAAGCCTTACTTTGTGATTGCAAATTAACTTGAAAATAATTCATTCTGTAGTTGTTTTTTCATGGTTAAGTTTGGAAGTTTTACAAGGATGAAATTGCTGTGTTCAGTTTCTTCTGTGCAGTCTTTATTTCTGTATCTTATAACTTAACCAAGATCTAGAAGTAAATGAGTTAGTTTACAATTTAAACAAAACAAAACAGCAACAAAACCCAACTTAAAGTTTTCCGTCTTCAAAATAATGAAACAGATAAAGTGCTTTGCCCTGATTCAAAGCATGATTTGAAAGATGTACCGCCTATCTCTGACAGTTGTCAGGGAGACAGAAGGAGTGGGATATGATAATTGAGGACGTTCTGTTAATTCTGAATTTCCCTTATTGTTGAATTATAATATTGTGAATTTCTAGGATTATTACACACCGTATTTAATTATTCAGAAATGTTTTCAGGTTATTTTTAAAAGGCTTTTGGTTCATTTATTATTTTATATCGCTGTTAAATCTCTCAATCAGCATGGATGACTGCAAGATGACTATGACAAATTATGTAAAAGTATTAATAATCTATTCTAGAACTTGGATTCCAGATGAGGCTTTTGGCAGAGAACATGACTCAAACATAATTTTATGAAGCTTTGCATAGATTGTTACTTTGCATAGATTATTTAACCCTTATTTTTGTGGGTGGTGGAGTAGGCCACTTTGTGATAATTAGACAAAATGTAAATAGTTTTTTTTACTCTTCTCTGAGTGCATGTCTGTCAGTTTTTAATGTGCATTGTAAACATCATCAAGAAACATAAAGTTCGCGTAAGGCCATCTATACAGAAAAGGCTTCAAGGTTGTAAAAGAACTTCAAAGGCATTTAATCATGTATCCAGGTATTTCTCGAATTCCTCATGTCTCTTCAGTTTCTTCTTGAACACTTACTGCCTTCTGATGTGATTGAAATGTCCTGTATTATAAATTTTTATTTTAATTGAAGGAGAGGTGAGACTTATGGGTTAATAATTTCCAGTTTTCTTGGGTTCGTTTTCAGTTTTCAGATCAGCCTCAAGCTTAAAGGTAATGGCTATTTGATTAGAATATTTGTATAGCTCCAGACTTAACAAATCATTGTCATTTTCTTAGGAAATGTGAAAATATTTAAGTGGTTAATTACTTTTTGAATTCTTTACCATAGAGTCCTTACATAGTCTTCTCCTTCTATTAGAAACACAGGAAAGCAATATTTGTATTTCCTAGAAGCTCATGTGTTAACAGGTACTATGTGTTCCTAACTAGATAGTTAACCTGAATTTATATTTAAATGTATTCTTTTTTTTAAGATTTTATTTATTTATTTGACAGAGAGAGACACCACGACAGAGGGAACACAAGCAGGGGGAGTGGGAGAGGGAGAAGTAGGCTTCCTGCGGAGCAGGGAGCCTGATGCGGGGCTCGATCCCAGGATCCTGGGATCATGACCTGAGCTGAAGGCAGATGCTTAACGACTGAGCCACCCAGGTGCCCCTAAATGTAGTATTTAGTGTGAACCTAACTTACCTTGACATATCTATTGTGGGGATTAATAGTTTAAAATAATTTTTAAATACTTTTATAGAGTGAACACTGTTCCACATTTAAATGTGCTAGTTAAAAATGTTTTACATTGATGTGTAATTTTTAAGGTACATAATAGTAAATTTGTAAAATATTTTATCTTTTAGGAGAGGGTTAAATCCACCACACAGGGTGAAATCTATCTCCATGACAACATTCACACAACAGGAAATTGAATTCCTGCAAAAACATGGAAATGAAGTAAGTGTTTTTACAATTTTTAACTTTTTTGTTGGCAGTCATTTTAATAAGATTTAATAAGTTGTTTAGAATGGTGAATTTCAATGTGTAAAAATTATCTCTCTATTCCATATTTAGATATTTTAGAATGTAGTTGTTTAATAATGTACTTAGAATCTTAGAGTTAATATCTACTAAATATCTAATAAATACTTTTATTCTGAGGTGAAACATGTCTCTAAAATTCATCAACGTTGAACGTAAAAGGCATTTTTGGAGGACATCTAGTATTGGAGTAACTGTTAGTCTTTGCTTTAAAAGGCCAAAAGAGAGAGAGAATTAACTTTGTGGTACTGTAGTAAACTTCTGTTAGGCCCGTTGTGTGATCAGCTTTTACTTGAGGTCCCCTCATGCCTTTTTATTATATGCTGAACTTTGTTTTGAGCAGGTGCTGGGTAGGAAGGAGGCTGGCAGTGCTGGGGGCAGCCCAGCATTAAGGGGAACCCAATAAGAATTTGGAGAGGAGCATTTTCTTCTAATTCTGCTTTAATGGGTTTCCAGTAATTTCATTCTGTTTGTTTGCTTTCTTGTTTTTAGTTCTGTGTTTTTACCATGCTGTTGGTAAGAGTGGTGATCTAATTGGAAAAACTATAAAACTGAAGAAAAGTGGACATTTTGGGATAAGATTGAGCCCATCATCCTAATTGATTAAATGACCAGTATTTCATTATTTCATAGAAAGGAAACACTACTTTAGTTATACTATTCTGCTTGCATATTTTTGATGTAATAGAAAAAAAGTTGTTTTAAGATTTTTTTTTTTCATCCTTTTCACCCTGAGAAGATATATGTAAACATTTTACAATTTGCTTATCTTTCTTCCCTAACATTTTGAGAGTAATATCTTAAACTTGCTTGCCTTCTTGTTATGCACATGTGTTTTTGGCTCTAAAACAGTGAAGAAGTATAAATTAAAAACCATGAAATATTTTTAATACATGATATAGAGAAGTGAGCACACTATTTTGCTGATAAAAAATTATTTTGCATAATCAAGTTCCGGACTGATGTCGGAAAATCTAAAGCTAGGAGAAAGGGCAGAAGATTTGTAATGGCTGTAAGTATAGAATAATATATTTACCAGTTGAAATACAATTTGAACTATTTATATATAAAGTTTGGGATTAGACCAGTAGTATAAACTTATAGTTGCACTCTTAGAATGTTGGCCTAGTATGCAAAATTTTGGACATCAGAATATGGAATCAGAAATAAACATTATTCTGTTCTTAGATTAAAAATCTAATGATAGTAGATAAATTCAGAGTAGTAGAACTTAAAAGGATCCATTGGAGAAGTAAGTAAAAACTTACTGATCTTTACTTCTGTACCTGTCAGGAAGTAGCTAAGGTTGGGTGAAGACTGGTCTCCAAGTACTAAGATTGAAGGAACTTTTAATTTTGGTTAGGAACACTTAACATAAGGTCTCCTCTCTTAAAAAATTATAAATGTCAATACAGTATTCTTACATAGAGGGACAGTGTTGTACATTAAGTCTCTAGAACTTACTCATCTTGTTTAAGTGAACTTTATACCCGCTGACTAGCAGCTCCCCATTCCCCGTTCTGAGCCCCTGGCAACTGCCATTCTGCTTTCTGCTTCTATGAATTTGACTGTTTTAGATACCTCATGTAGGTGGAATCATACACTTTTTGTCCTGCTGTGACTGGCTTATTTCACTTAGCATAGTGTCCTCAAGGTTCAACCATGTTGTCAAATACGGCAGTCATTAAGATTGATAGCAGAATAAATTTAGAATATGTACAAGGAAATACTTGATTTTAGGCAACTCATATCAAAAAGTAGAAACAAAATATAAACTTAGAGATGACTGGAATGGGTTCATGAATATTAATCCTAAAAAGAGTCATGCAAATTGCTAGGCCACTTAAAGCACTCACCAAGGCAGTCTCTGTGCTAGGTACTGCGGATGCAGTTATAGGCATTTCTCATAGGCTTAGCTAACAGCTTAAAATCTAACTGGGGTGACAGATATGTAACAGTGATAGCGTGTGTTAGATAATTAATGGTAAGAATAAGAGGTTTCAGAAGTAATATGGAAAGAGAGACTCAACTTGTTGGTGAAAAGGAGAGGATTGGGAAGATCTCATAGAAGTAAAACTGGACCTAAGCTGGCAGGAAGATACTGGGTCATTTGTTTTTAAGTCTGTTTGTTTGTTTATAAGTAATCTCTGTACCCAGTGTGGGGCTTGAACTGAACGACCCTGAGATCGAGCTCTTTCGACTGAGCCAGCCATGTACCCTGTGGCAGGAAAAGATACTGAAGGCAGAACAAACACAGTGCACAAAGAAAAAGGGAAAATTATTTTAGTTCATACTGTTAGAAAATATACCAACTTTTTAAATGTTAAAGAAGACACACATACTTTCCCTAAGAACATCTAAGAACCAAAGTACTGGGCTTGGTATATTTAATTCTTAACAATATTAATAGTATCTTAAAAACTTAGAGATGCATAGAAGATGAGGATTGATATTATGAAGTGCAGGATGGTTAACACAACTTAAAAACTTTATAGACTTCAAACGCAGGTGCTTTATTATCAGTTTATCTTATTTAAACATTTAAGTCTTGAGTATAACATGCATAGAAAAAAGTATACAAATCTTAATTTTTCATTTCAAAACATGTTGCCATATTCTGTGTATCTTCTGTCAGTAGTTTGGAAAGGACCATACTCAATCACGTATATTTTGGATTAAAAAGACACTACTGTCATACATCTTGTGCATGAATGGGTCATGCCTGAAGAGGAGTGCGTCACCAGTTAAAAGAGAGTAAATTGACTGACAGCAGTCTGGGGTCTTCTGCTCCCTCCAGGGGGCTTAGCGTTCTGAGGGGCATATTTGGTTCTTGATTGGGGTATTAGGGGCTTAAGCAGGTAAGTGCAGTGGTTGTTGGATGACTCACAGAGTGTTGAACAGAAGTAATCTACATTCCACATGCTTTGAATGTTTCTCCAGACATTTATATGTGGGAAAACCTGTTTACAGTCATCTGTGTGTATAACTTAAATCTGTTTTAATGCTTGTATTACAGTTCTGAACAGCTTGCCAAAGAAAATCATGCTGCCAAATTCAGAATAAAGAGTAGGAGGGGACTGCCAAGTTACAGGGCAAAGGACATGGATACAGGGAAGCCATTTAATTCACCATCAGCACAGTGGCCTAGCACATGTGTATATCTAGGGAAGATTTCAGATTTCATTCAGAGCTATGTTAAGAATTGTTCACTGTTTTTGGAAAATCACAAAACTGATGGCAGTGCCACTTACGGTATTTGAGTCATTAATAAAGTACATCTGTATTAGTCTGTAAGCTGTGGTAAGCAAATAAAGTTATTACTATTTATAAGCATGTGTCAAGGACATGCTTAATATTTACAACAATACGTCATTAGTTTCTACAAATGTAGTTTACAAAGTACTTGAATATTACTTTAGTATTCTCAGACTCCTATGGTGTGTTCAGTGGAGCAGATATGTCCATTTTTACATTATAGACCATAGTGTGCCAGATGTTAGTAAAATATTTTGCAGTGAAGCACTTTGTATTATTTGAGGAAATTGTTTGGACATTTTTCTCAAAAGTAAAGTATTTTACAGAAAAAAATTCCACATACTTATCTTGTAGTACTTTTGTATTGTGATGTTAATTAAAAAAAAAAATCTTTAGTAGTTTTCTCCATATATCCTCTTGTGATATTGTGGGTAATTCATGGTCCTCTAGTTGAAGGAATTTCACTCTTGGGTTAACTTCTGATTATTAAAGTTAATGGAAGGAGGGCTGGTGATCAGTACTATAGATAATTCAATAAAAAGAAAAGGTTTAGTAATTTTATTTTGAAGCATCAGTTTTTCTTTTCTGGTAGCAAATTAACTCTTCATAATTATGTTTTAGGCCTGAGAATGAAAGAGTTACTACTGATGCTCCACAGGCATACAGTCTACATGGAGAAATAAAATCATGCATTGATTGACATATTTGATTATCTTTATGCTAGATTATCAAAATAACCCCCCAAAACAGAAACTACTGCTTTTAAAAAAATCCTTCTAAAACAATAAACCCATAAAGTAAGGTGCTCTTTTCTGTGTTAACATTTATGATGGATTCATTTTTCATTTTTGAAGCAGAGATTTATTAATCACCTATTGTATACCATGGACTATCCCCTTGGGTGCCAGAGATACAGTGATAAGCAAAAGCAGATATGATTTTGCCTTTATGTAAAGCTTAGAGTTTAGTTGGGGGGGGGAGAGAGAAAAGGAAAATCATTTCTGTCAATTCTGTTTTGGTTTAAGAGTGAGAAAGGGTTTCAGTTGGGAGCTGCAGATGCTTTGCGAGTGTGGAGACATAGTATTTTTCAGGAAGTTATACTTATGATTCAATAGGCCTTATGAGACAAGCTATTCAGAGCTTTGGAGCAATTAAATTGCAACTTTGGGAGAGACTGGAGCCATTTATAACCACAAGCAAGCACTACCACAAAATATTTTTGTTTCTAAAAAAATTTAAGATTCCAAATTCACAAACTCTGATAGTTTTGCTGGAATATCCATGTATCATTTTGTGATATGTTACATATACCTAGTCTCTTACAAGGCTAAACAGAACACTAGTGGTTATTTCTCAAATCATCCTGTGTAAACTGTAGTATGTGATGGTTGTTCTCTATACAGAATCATGGACTCTGAAAAGTGGAAAACCAATATCAGAAAGAGTGTTTGGGACGTTATCAGAGCAAAGACAGTGGACCTTTGAATGAATCGTGAATCGGTATATGGAAATATCATGTAGCTTCAAAGTATTGTATTCATTCCTTTTTTTTTTTTTTAAGATTTTATTTATTTGAGAGAGGGAGAGTGAGTGTGCACGAGCGCACAAGCAGGGGGAGTGGCAGAGGGAGAGGGAGAAGCAGGCTCCCCGCTGAGCAAGGA